AATTCTGTAAGTCATGAACTTAATTGTTAGCAGCAGAAACAGTTCTATTTATTTTGCTTTAAGTGAGCTTAAACAAAAGTTTAAACCCTTTTTGCCATTTTAGTCTTTTAATTTCGAATGGAGATTTGAGCAGGCTTTGAGTTTTATGAGTTTTCAGTATATTAAATCTCTGTTATGTTCTTTTCTTTAGGCCTGATAATAAAGAGTTTTATATGCCTTCATTAGAGATTAAAAGGAGTTCATTTACTGTATTTGCAAATGTGTTTATTTAATTTAAAAATCAAACTGTTTTGTATCATGATTTAAAAACCAGATGGTGAACTCCTAATAATTTTTTTTTTTTTTTTGTTTTGTTTTGTATTGATCGTAAGAGGTGCCGTAAAGATCGAGGTCGTTGTTGGGATAAGCCAAAGTTCGGTGCCGGGCCACAACGTCCGGGTGTTGCCAGGACTTCTATCGCGAGCTCGCAGGCGCGCCCGTACACAGCGGACGTACGCTTGCCGTGTACATCGCATGCCGCGAGGCCCGCGTGTCAGTAGCCTGTGCGGCCCTGTGTTGTCAACAACCTGTCCTTGCCTAGGTATCCTCCCGCAACCCATCACCCACTCGACATTCTCCCTGCGTCCAGTACTGTGCCCGAGCCCGTGTCAAGCCCGATCACATTTTATATTATTTTGAGTTGTTCAAGAGTATCCTGAACTATTTTTAGCATTTTTATAAAACCATCCCGAGTCTTAAAATGGTTTTTCGAGTCGAGAGTTCCAACATCTAAGAAAAACAGAAAGTCTATAAGTCATGAACCTTAAGCTAGAAAATCTTTCAATTGGTAAATTTAATTTACCAAATCAGAATTAGTTATTTATCCGCGATTCATGTAGATTCGAAGGAGTCGAGCCCTCGAGTTTCCACATAAGCGACAACTCATCTCAGTAGCAGATCCAGAGTATCCAGGTGGAGAAGTCTATCTAGTACATCATTTTGATTAAACATTGTGATATTTTTGTTTGTCGTTATTTGCATGAATGATGTGTTTTCTAGTTTTTCAGTTATATACCGGACGATTGATCACGTACGGTATGAACAACTATTTCTGTATTGTTCTCAGATCAGATATGTCGCATGCTAGCTAGTCCCCCGAGGAGCAGTACTCCGAAGGACTAAGTAGACAACCAGTGCACCTGAGGGGCAGTACTCCGATGGTTGCTCGAATTTTTCAGTTGCACCTTAGTACTGCTTTGGTTGCTAGAACTTTTTTCTGAAACCATTGTTTATGTATTATATCTGCTTACAACGGTATCTTTTGTTTAATTCAAATGTTCGTACTATATAGACTCTAGGTGAGCCCGTTGATTATTATTATGCTTACCCCCCACACCAACCTTTCAGGATAGGCAGCTGACGGTACTGGAGGCAGGCCGGTGTGGTCATCAGTTTCTTATGATTCAGTCATTTATTTTCAGACATTTGCAGTTGTTACATTATATCTAATTGATTGCAATTGTTATTTCATACATATCTTTAAAATACCTTTTTTGTAAACATATATAAGTTAGTTCATTAGTCATCATCATCATCCAATGATCCAATCATAATACTTAGTGTCGGAAAAATATATTCTGTCATCTCTCGCAGACCAATAACAGTGATTGTCGTTACAGTACTCCCTCTTTGCCTCCTCGTACGCGATAATCACTTGATGCTTTAGTCCCCACTGAAAAGTACACCAAAATTTGGTAGAGTACCAGATATTAGTGCAGAAAGTCCACCTGAATTCTTGATTTTGATCCATCGTCTTTATTCCTAAATCATCGTCTTTCGAGCGACAGTGCAGTAGAAACGGCTCGTTCACAGATAGCAAGTTGGCCACGTGAACCGTGACTTTCGAGGTTAGGAAGCATTTCTTCTTGATCTTGATAGAAGAGGCGAATGGTGCATGGATAACGCTGGCTATAATGAAGAGGAACAAAATCGTGTTTCTTAAATTTGAGCAAGCCATTGCGTTTTTTGCAGCATGTATTTTGTATGATCTTGTGTATTGAGATCTTGGTACTGTTGGTTGTACTTAAATATATGAGGTGTTGCCTTTTATAATCGTGAAAGTTGTGGTATTTGTGTAATCTGTAAAATATATTTGTTTGCCAAAGAGGAATTGTTATTATCTTGCTTTTGGATTACGAGCAACATAAATATGAAATATCTGGTAGATTTTGAAGAGATTAAAAAGTATAAAATATTTAATTTAGACTATCCAAGCTAAATTATTAATTGAAGTAACATGATACAACAATAAATCGGCTTACCGGTTCAGTCCTATAGATAGCTCGACTCGGTTTGTTTACTAATAATTAAATTGAGTATTAGTGTGTATATGTTGAGAACACGTCCTGGTGCTTTTCAGGTTTTCAAACGCCGGTTCAAGGCAGTTACAGTTTACCAATTTGGTGTTGATTGAATATGAGTTCTAACCGGTTTTAATCAGTTATGACCAGTCGAGCTATTTCATATCCAATCATCTAACTCGAAATGCAATTCAACCCAACTCTCTTACTTTTTATAAATATAATTAAATAATATTAATCAATCATTTTTATATCATATCCATTTTAATTCATTATCAACTCGCATACATAATTTTAATTACATATGACTTTCAATCACATCTCTCATACTTTTACATCACACCAACATTAATCGTTATATTTTAAATATTATTTATTTTAAACTCAAATTCATCCAATAAATTTATTTTATTCAAAATAACTCACTTTAACTAATCAAAACCGATCAAAACCGATTAGATTCATATCCAATCGCGCCCTTATTACACAACAAACAAGGTACATCCTAACCCATGATAACTAGTAAGGTAGGGAACTCTAATTAGTGAGTATTTTGTACTTGATTTTTAGTAAAGCGATTAATCTGTCAAAAATCAACTTAGATATAAGACATTTAATGGTTACAATATTCTAATAAAAGCATTAATACTAAATAAGATAAATAAGGGTGTTTTCATTCTAATTTTTTTAAAACTTTTTGAAATATTAAGAACTTTGTATATTTGTTT